GTTGCCAAAGTCTGCTTCAATGTGGCCAAGTCCCTGCAGAAGATCAGGCCCATCCTCCACAATAGGTGAGCTGGGACTCGCTGTTCGTATGCTCCTTTCCAGCTACACTGTTTCTTCCTTTGTGGTGATACTGAGGGTTGACCTCACTTGGCAAGCATTCTGCCACTTGAGCCATGCGCCCAGTGCTTTTTGCCTTGGTTATATTTCACAGAGTGCATGTGTAGGCCCAGGCTGCCTGGTCTGCGCATGCTGCTCACACTGCTAGGAATAGGGGTGCCACCACGCCCAGCTATTGCTAGGGCTTCTTCAGTGGCTGGGATTCCAGATGTGTACCACTGTGTTCAGCTGCCACTGCTCCCTGCTGCTTCCTGCCAGTGTCGGCTTCACTGTAGACTGAGGAGTCAGCAGTGGAGGTGGCGAGCCTAATGGGGAGGGGGTGTGAAGGGAAGGGAGGTGAGGGGTGGCTCAGCATTGCTAGCAGTCTGGAGATGCAAGGGGGTGGCCAGGCCTGACCTGAATTCCCAGCTGTGGGCCCCATCAGCTTCAGGCTCCAGCCCTTTCCCCTCTGCTTCCAGAACCCTGCAGAGCAAACTCAAGCCAGTCCTGGAGAAGCTGACCCAGGACCAGGATTTTGCCCAGGAGGCCTTGACTGGTGCAGGCTGTGGGTAGGCGGGCAGTGGCAGGTGGCAGGTGGGAGGGGTGGTGGTGCCCAGGCCCCTGGCCTGGGAGGGCCAGAGTGTGGCACTGCCTAAGCAGGGGCTGGGGCCAGATAGGCAGGTGGATGGGGAAAGGGTGGTGGGGCCTGGGTAGGGGTGCAAGAGGGCCAGGATGGGCTTCTGAGTCGGCCCATTCCTGTTCCTCCAATTCTGTCTCTTGCCTGATGCTGGAAGAAGAGCCAGTGCTTGGGCCACCAGTGCCTGGCCTCCAGCCCACCCTCCGCTCAGCCCTCACTGAGCTCCTCCCTCAAGGAGCCAGTGTGTTGCTGATAGCCCTCCCTGTGCATGGCCTGAACCCAGACCTGGCCTTATGCACGTTCCCTGAGGTCCCTGCAGAGACGGAAACTGGCTCCCTCCCAAAGGCTGAGGGACATGCAGCCAGGAGGAAGGTGCCACTCTGCTCTGTAGGGAGAGACACGAGCATCCGGGTCACTGCCTCTTGCTGCTGAGATGGGGACCCCATCCCCACCTCCCTCCCACTTCCCTCCCCTTCCCTCCCCCCACCCCCTACCCCGGTGGTTTATTTGTGTCAACTGTACTGTTTATATTTTATTTCCATTCCCACTCTTTTCACAAAGAAATAAAGGTGTAGAAAAGTTGACGCTCAGGTCTTAGTGAGGGTTGGGGGGAGTGTCCTGGGGCCTTGGTCTCTGCCCTTTTCTGTGAGGAGACTTAGTCCTAAGTACTCACACTGAGTGTCCTGACCCCTAGGCATGCTGCCTGCTGTGGCAGAGCTGGCCAAGGACACAGGCTGCCTGTGGAGGCCGTACTGTTCACATCCTCCTATTATTCACATCCTCCTACTGCTCAAGTCCTCTTAGTGTTCACTGAGCCACACCCCTGCCCTAGGAAAATCATCCATGTTTTTTATGAGCACATAGCATTGTCTCAAAGCCTGGGTTTCCCACTGGGTACGGCAAGCATTTCCAAGGCCCCTGTGGGCAAGGACATCAGTGTGAGTTTCCTTTACAGCTTTATATCTTTGTTTTTTTTTTGGTTACTCATGTGTATTAAACTCTGGTCCTGGCAGCTGGACCTCAGGTGAGAGCAAGCACTCTAACACCTGAACCACAGCCTCACTTCTGGTTTTCTGGTGGTTTATTGGAGATATGTGTCTCATGGATTTTCCTGTCCTGGCTGGCTTTGAATGGTGATCCTCATATCTCAGCCTTCTGAGTAGCTAGGATGACAGGAGTGAGCCACTGGCACCTGTCTAGGTTTCTGTCTTTTAAAGTCTGGATTCTACCTGAGAAAAACATATTTACGTTTCTTGTCTGGCTTGTTTTCCTTCCCAAGATGTATGATGAATTCCAGTTCCATCCATTTTCCTGCAGGGTCCAGGCTTTTTTCTTCATGGAATGTGGTTTTTTTTAGCAGAACAGACAAATATATGAGATAGAAAGGAGTAGATGGCAATAGATAGCATATGAAAAATTTGGAGCTATTTGGTGGTGGGGAATTGATATGCAACATAAAGTAGACAGTATTTTCTGGATCTGTATACACCTGCCTGAAGTATAAAGCTGTGACCCAGCTCTACCCTGTGCCTGTCAGCCAGGAGGGAGAGCTGGCCCAGCCCAATTATAAACCCACACTGCATAGAGATGACATTTCACCAGCCAAGACTGAAAACTGAAAGTTCAGGGTGGAAAACCGTGCCAAGCAAATGGGAACTGACCTGAAAGGAAGCCCCAGTTTCTTGTCCCACGAGCGCAGGAGAGACATCAAAACCAAGTTAGGCTGATGAGATAAAGACCGTCACCCACTGCTGACAGACAGTGAGCCAGTGCACAGATGCCTACTGCTGCCCTGGTTTCATGAACTAGTACTACTGGTGGCCATAGACCCTTAAGTCCAGGCCAAGTTAGAATGTTGGCTTAAGACCCCTCTCATCAAGTGATAGGCTGTCGAGCCCAAAGTCAGCCATAAGACTTAAGGATCAAATGAAGGAACAAGTTTACAAATTCAAGAATCAAAATCATAGCACAACTTTCCAGACCTCTGGGATGTAGCAAAAGCTTCTCAGGGAATTTACAGCTGTTTGGGCCTGGCATGAAAACAGGTGTCTCAAATGCAATCAATGATGAAGCACAATATAAAACAAACCCAGAACAGTGGATAGAAATATAAACATAAGGTCTGGGAAGGTGACTCAGTGGTAGAGCACTTGCCTTTCATGCTTGAGGCCCTAGGTTCAATTCCTCAGCACCACATAAGCAGGAAAAAAAAGCCATAAGTGGTGCTGTGGCTCATGTGGAAGACTGCTAGCCTTGAGTTGAAGAGTTGAGGGACAGTGCCCAGGCCCAGAGTTAAAGTCTCAGAACTGGAAAAAAAAAAAGAGAAGGGACACTTTGGGTAAGAAACTTTGGGGACACGAGGCTTACACACCACTGAGGTTGTTTACAGACAGTCATCTCAAGTTGGGCCTCAGTGTCTCCTGCCGGCCTACTGGGATCCAGGAGAGGTAAGTGACTGCTCCACTCCCCTGTCTCCCTGAAGAAGCACCCACATGAAAGTGGAAAGTGTCTTGATAATTGCCACATGGGGGAAAAGAAAAAGTTTACTGAGAACTTGGGTTGCCACCCAAAGTGAAGGGAAAATCACCGCTCCCACGGGAGACGACCTCGGCTGCCACCCTCCTGGACCCCTATCTAAGGAGCCCTCTGAAGCTCTGAAGTGCCCATGTGCATCTCAGAAATGACCCGCCCTGCCACACACATCCAGAGAGAAGAGGCGAGCACTTGTGTTCACTGCCACTGGAGAGGCGCAGCCTGCAGGAGAGACCCCAGGTTCCACACTCTGGGTAAGGGATCACCTTATGAGTAGGGATTCTGGATTGAACCCGGATGCATGACAAAGAAACAGGGAAGGATAGGAATGGGCTAGGACAGTGAAAAGAACTGGGGTTCTAGGTACCCCCACCCTCAAGCCCTGTGGGTTCCTCACTTCCTCTTCCTCACAGAGTCTGTCTTGGTTTATAACAAGTGAGGAGGAATCCTGAATGTCCAGGGGCTGGAGATGATGTGTTCACATCAGTGACTCTAGAATGGCATTTGAACCTAAAATTGCCCCTCACGTTCTCTGTCATCCACCTCCTCCTTCACCCGCACCATCCCCATCGCAGACCTGGTTCATCTTCCTGGTATTTCTTCTGTGAAATGTGGGCTCCGTGTTGAGGAAACGGTGACACCTGGGACCCACTCCTACAGCCAGAGTATTGAGGTATAAGTGCATGTGACCCCAGGAATGTGTCACGCATGTTTCAAGTTTCTTTCTTTAATCAGTCAGAGAGCTTGAACTTGGGGCTTGCCCATGTTCCTTGAGCCCATTTTGCTCATGGCTAGGCCTCTACCACTTTGAGCACAGGTGTCCTTCTGGTTTGCTGGTGCTTAACTGGAGAGAAGACTCTTACAGACTTTACTTTTCTGGTCTGGCTTTGAATTGGGAATCCAACGTCTCAGCCACTGAGTAGCTAGGATACAGGCTTGAGCCACTAGGGCCTTGCTTGTTTAGAATCTTAGATCTGATTCTACAGAGGAGAAATTCAGCTGCCTTCACCTCAGAACCAGACTCACCTTCCCTTAATGCCATTTCTCCAGGTTCACCCATTTCCCTGAACATGCCATCTTCCTCTTCCCCATGGATGAATAGAATTGGATTTTTCCTAATACATGAGAGATAGTAGGACAGTATTTCCAGTGGTCTGAATGCTGAATGGAGAATGCTGAATTCCCTTGGCACCATGAAGGCCTCAGTTTTCCAAGCCAGAGCCTCTGAATGAGACTCAAGAAACAGAGAGGATGGGAGATGTCCATGTGTCTATGAGGGTGATCCTCTTAGCCCAGACTGTGGTTGGGTTTGTGGGTAATTTGTCTCTTCTCTCCCATTATCTATTCCTTTCCTGCATGGGGAACAGGATGAGAGCCACAGACTTGATTCTTAGGCACTTAATTGTAGCCAACTTCCTATGTCTTCTGTGTAGGGGTGTTCCCCAAACCATTGTGGCTTTGTACTGGAGAATTTTCTTCAATGATGTGGGGTTCAAAATTGTCTTCTATCTTCACTGAGTGGGCAGGGGGGTGGCGATAAGTAGCTCCCTGAACATCTTCCTTGCTGTCAGCATCAGTCAGGGAGACTCCATGTGGGCAGGGCTGAAGGGGAGAGCCCACAAGTACATTGTCTCCACAGTGTACCTCAGCTGGGGGTCTTCCTCCTGCTGAGAATTGTTTGTCTTATGTACATGACCAGACCCAAAGCGCATGACAACAGGACCAGCTTAAAGGCCTATGGATACTGTTCTTCCATGTGTAATGATCCAGTTGCTGATGTGCTGTACATGGCCATACTCTTGGTGCCTGATGTTCTGTGTCTGGGGCTCATGCTCTGGGCCAGCACCTCCATGCTCTTCTCCTGTACAGACACAAGCAGATAATGCGACACATGCAGAGGACCAGTGTCTCCACCAGAGCCCCTCTCGAGTCCAGAGCCACCATAAGCATCCTCCTACTGGTGAGCGCCTTTGTCTCCTTTTATACCATGTCCTGCAGCTGTCAGATTTGCTTGTCTGTATTTACAACCCCAGCCCTGTGCTGCAACATATAGCGGAATTTGCTATGGGCTGTTTCCCATCCCTCAGCCATTTCCTGCTCATGAGCGGACACTCCATCCCTGTAGCATTCTCTTCACCTGCACGAAGAAGAAGGAATTGGTCTTCCCCTGTGGACCATGAAGCTGGCATCTCTGCTGAACTTTGCTTGGCCATTCAACAATCTCCACACCTAGATAAAAGTCATCTGCTGAGAGATAGAGGTGTGCACACATGTCCACACCTGTGCATTTGTGTGCTTTATATCTCTGTGTGTGTTCATCTGTCTCTGTTGTGCCGGCCCACAGAATTATATGAATGTGGAAATATGAGATTTTGAATAATGCTTATTAGGTCATGTCAAGTTCCCCCAGAGAATCTGCCCCATTAATTGGTAGTCATATCAAATTCAAGATAAACTGGTTAAACTCACTTAACATGTTTTCCTAATTTCATTTTGAGTCTTTTGATTTTTTTCTTTCTTTCTTTACAGTTCCCTATGCAATGAAGCAAATAATTCTTAAAGCCCTGTCTGTTCTCAGGAAGAAAGTAGTTGGAAAGAAAATATCAGCTGGCAATTGTTTATAACATATTTATAAGATGATTTCTATGTTGCTTTGTATGTCCCTCCTCCATGGTATAACCCATGTTTCACTGTATTTGATGTTGGTATAATTTGTGGAGGGGAAGGGAAAAAACAAATCTTTTAATGAGGGATACAGGTAGACCCATTGCAACAATGAGACTTACAAGTGGTTATGTCGAAAAATGAACTTTACAACTTTGTTGTAGGGGAGAATCGGGTTGGGGGAGGGCGGGATTATGGGAAGGTGTAGGAAGGGGAAATAAAGAGGAGGCAACAATGCTTGATAGGAAACATGCTCGTTATCTTGCCCATATAATTGTAACTCCTCTGTAGGGTATTCTCACAATAAAAAAAAATAAAGTAAAGAAAATAGCAGCTGGGTGTGGTGGTTGATACCTGTGTTCTGAGTTCATGAGGAGGCGAGATCTAAGGATCACATTTCAAAGCCAGTCTAGGCAGAAAACTCTCTGAGAATCTCATCTCCAATAAACCACTAAAAAAACAAACAAACATGGAGGTGGTGCTGTGGCTGAAGTGGTAGAGCATTAGCCTTGAGCAAAATCTTCCCAGGGACAGAATGGAGGCCCAGATTTTAAACCCCAGGCCTGGCACAAAGAAGGAAAGTGAGAATGAGGGACACAGACACACAGACAGAGACCGACAGAGAAGAGAGAGGGCAAGCCAGCAAAGAAGGAATTAAGGAAGGAAGGAAGGAAGGAAGGAAGGAAGGATAACAGGAAGGAAAGAAGGAAGGAAGGAAGGAAGGAAGGAAGGAAGAAGGAAGGCGGGAAGAGGGAGGAAGAAAGGAACAAGGAAGGAAGGAAGGAAGGAAGGAAGGAAGGAAGGAAGAAAGGAAGGAAGGAAGGAAGGAAAGCAGCAAGCAAACAAGCAAGGAAGAAAAAAAGGGAGTCCTGCTGGTGTACCACTGACCACAAACATCAAGGTTCCTTCCTGACAGTTACTCTGTTAGTCTTGTCCGTGCTTATTTCTTTTTTTTTTATTGTAAAGATACTATACAGAAGGTTACAGTTACATGAGTGAGGTAATGAGTACACTTCCTCTTGAACATTGTTAGCCCCTCCATTGTTTTCCCCCTACCATCCCCTCCCTCCCTCCCTTCCCCGAAGTTCTTTTTTTTTTTTGATTGTGATTAAGTGATTACATAGTTTCTAA